CTTTTTCCACAATGTTTCTTTCTTAATTTTTCTCAATTTCTCCTTTTTGTTTTAACACTTCAAACTTTATTTTTTCTTTAGAGAAAGTAGAGAGGATATATATGAGTCTAGCCTTGATGGTGGATTGAAATACAATAGTGAAGCGAGGATAAATAATATAAATTATGGAGTGAGGATGAGTATAGTGACTCCAAATGGAATATTTGACACTAATGTAGTAATGTCAAATAGATATGATAGTGATTGAACTTGTGCCATTTGCTTTGATACCATATGTACCATATTTTATCTCTCTCCTCTTAAGCTAACTAAAAAAACGCCAATTGTTTAATGAAAGAGCCCTTTGTGGTTATTTTATCTTTATTTATCCCCAAAGATTCCAAGAATCCACAATGATAGTATTTTTAAATCTCATCCTATGATCACATACATTGCAATTTCTCTATAGCAAAACCTTAGATGATTTCCTCTATGATTTATGTTTCATACTCCACTAAGTGCTCTTTAGGATCCATTAGTACTTTCCACATGATCACCAGGCATCATCCACTTGTAGAATTCCTTATCATATTCTTCTTTGGGGAAATTTACAGAACAATGACATGATCAAAAGTAGATCTTTGGTGAAAGAGTTGATAAAAATCACATTGATTCTTCAACCTCTCTCCATGCCATCATGAGGTTGTTGTGTCTGAAATTAGTGGCTAGTAACACATCATCTTTGTATGCTTTGTGCATTGAGAGAAAAATAGAGGAGAGGGATTTCTACTAAGTCCTAATTTTTATATTTTTTAAGTAGGACTCAAAAAAAGAACATTACAAAACTAGAAGAGAAAACTTAGACTAGAATCACTTCACACTCTATGCTCTAATGCTTTGGTGTCATTAGGGGCTCTTCTTTATATAGTCCTTAGATTATATTTTATGTTTTGTTGTTGATATCATAAAATATTGGTGTATTAAAGGTGGTAGATTTAGATGACCATTTTTAATGCATAGGTTACACAAAAAACTATTTTTAAATGGTGGCAGAAATCTTTGTAAAGTTGGAGGGTATGCTTAAATGTAGAAGTTATATAACACATCATTTTATAAAGGTGGTGGAAGATAAGGTTTGTGATAGAGTAAGGTGGATGGGTAATATGACAAATATAAAATATAAAAAGGAGAGAGTAGTCGTAAAAGGATTTGGTTTGACTTGTTTTTTATTTTGACTTCAAATATTAATTCATAGAGAAAAGGTGGTGATAGAATAGTAAGGTAGAGGTATAAAGGGATGGTTTTGCATATATATACTTTGTATATGGCATTTTTAGTTAAAAAATTTTCCTATCACATAATCCCACCTAAACAAGCCATATGGTTGTAAGCTATGTGGGTTGTTTATAACCCAATGGTAATGTTGTCTTTTAGATGAACATAGAACATTTTTAGTGTATATCCATTTACTTGGGTGTCATGTTATTCTCCATCAAGATCTGCTAGCAAGTATGATCCATTATTGTTAACCTCAACAATTTAATATGGGCCATACCATCACAAAAGAAACTTTTTTGTTAATCCTGCTATCATACTTCATAACAAAATTGCCAACCTGAAAAGCCTTTATAATTTTTTTTATTAAATCTGTGCTTTCTTTGCTATTAAATTGCTTCTATATGTTGAAAAACTTGACATTGATTCTCATCCCCTCAAGTTAAATAAGCTTTAATTACAAGTCCTCATTGTCATCTAGTTCATGCTTTAGTGTTAATCATAGAGTTGGGATCTCCAAATTAATTGGAAGTATAGCTTTTATCCCATAAACTAGCTAGAAAATAGTGAAGTTTATTGTTAGCTTATGTATGGTTTTATAAGCCCATAATGCTATTGATAGCCATTTGTCCCAATCTTTATTCTTCTTGGCAGTTAGTTTTCTTAGAATGTTACATAATACACCATTTGTTCTCTCTGCCAACCCGTTAGCTTATGGATAGTATGATGTTGACTATCAATGTTTTATTAATAGCTTCCTTATTAGTGTTTTAACCATCTCATTGCAGAAGTGTGAGCCTTGGTCTAACTTGATGCCACTGGAACTAGTCCTACAAAATTTATCCCCCATTTCTCAAATGGTCTTGTCGGCAAAATTAGATGGAGACTTCTTAGTTGAAGGATTTTTCTTCTAAAGGCCTAATAGATGTAATATAACTTGCACCATTCCTTCATGTCCTGGAATAATGTTGGCCAAAAATATCTTACATTCACAATCTTCTTGGCTGTATAAATATGGGAGAACTGTCCACCATAATATCCTTCATGACATTGTTTCATGATCCCTTTTCATTCATTTTGTCCAACTTCTCTTTAAAGCACACTGTCTTGTCCAATTTTATAAAGTTGATCATTTAACTTACATATAATTTTTTGCTTCTCAATGCCTTTACAACCTTCTAGAAAACTACCTATTCCCAAAAAGTTGTAAATATCCTAATATTTTTCCATATCAACACTCATTGTTAAGACTTCATGATCTTTTTTCTGGCATAGATTGATCTCTTTTTTCTTTAGAGGTATTTTATAATCCAAAGCTCTAATCAATCCTACTCGAGTGTTTTTCTCATGTTAAAACTCAAAATCATACTCTACTAAAGTTGTCATCTATCTGGAAAGCCTCTCAACAAGTGTTAGCTTATTTGCAATATACCTTAATATAGTATTATCTATGAGGAACATAAAATGCCTTCCCCACAAGTAGCATTTGAATTTCTCTACCGTATATATGATATTTGCAGTTTGCTTCTCCAAAAGTGAATACCTAACTCAAGTCCTTGAAGTTGTTAGCCAATATCCTCTACTCCCCTTTTGGAATAGAATTGCTGTGATAGAATATGTTCACATAGAAAGTCTCATCCCAATGTGGTGCTACCAAAATCGGGGCTTAGCACCTGCTTCAAGTTTTCAAATGCTTCTTGACACTCTATTATCCAACTAAAGCTTTCTCCTTTTTGTAAAAGCTTGTTTAAAAGAAATGTTATTTCAGCAAATCCCTCAACAAACCATTGATAATAACTTGCCAGTCCTACAAACTGTCATACCTTTTTTAGTAGGCATCTCCACCAACTTTTGTATCTTATCTTGGCTTGGTTTAATTCCTTCCTTCAAGACTATATGACCAATCAATATATCTTTTGTGCTTGCAATTTGACATTTCTCCAGATTTAGGCAAGCTTTTGATTCATCTAGCCTTTCAAATGCTATTTGTTCCTTTTCCAAATGAGTTACTTAGTTTCTGTATATGCAAAAGTCGTCAAGGTATACTAATGAACTTGCCAAGCTAGAGTTCAAAGATCTTGTTCATGAGTCATTGAAATATTGTTGGTGCATTTGTGAGCCTAAATTCAAACTTGAAAATATCTTGAGTATCCATCACAAAAAGTGTACCACTCATGCCATGCTACTTTATCAAGGATCTTGTCCATGAATGAAATGATATGATGATCACATCATTTAACATCATTCAACTTTTTATAGTTGATATATACTTTCCATTTCCCTCCCTTCTTTAGTGCTATTATAACAGGTGACACCCAATCTGAATTCTCCACTTCAAAAATGAAGTCAGCTTTTATTAACTTCATTAATTTAGAGACAATATCAAACTAACTTGTATAGCTTTTGAGCCACTGGCTTTGGTCCTTGTTTGATTGGAATCTATCCACTTGCCGCACCTTCTCATAGGAGTTTATGAAAAGCTTTGGGAACTTCTTCAACATCATCATTGTTTTGTGATCTATGTATGGTTCACATATTTACAATTTGATTTTCTGGGTAAAGACTCCACTGGGTATCAAGACTCTGTAGTTGTAAACAAAGAGGTATATGATGCTATAGACTATTTCAAGAAAGGTATGTTGTGTCCTCATTGAGATGACACAGAGAAAAAGAATGAAACCACTTTTAGGGTTGGCAGATGATTTGCTATACACGGCATGGCGATGCCAACCCTAAAAGTGGAAATGACGAATGCTGGAAGAATTGTACAGTGCATTCAATTCATGGCTAGAAATCACCAATCTGCCGCTTCTCTTTCTTTTTCGCGAAAGACCAATGCTGATTTCAGAATCAGAACAATACATTTAAATCGACCTGCTGCTAAGAGATAAAAATAGATGAGCTGTTTATTAGTCTCAATAGCAAACCAAATCTTATAATATGCAAGCATTTCCAATCTAGCTGCCATAGTCTTGGATCTGGCAGTTCGGATCAATATTGGCATCCCATGATTCAGCATCCTGTAGCTCATGCTCAATATTATGGTAGTTACTCTCAGATCCCACGTAGAAGTCCATGTTGCATTCATTGTCTTTCGTGCAGGCATCATCCACCCGAACACATCCATTGTGTTGCCTGCCGTTGGGAAGCGCTAAGCCTTGGAGCAGATCTATCTTGAGATGTGCATCTGGAAGAGCGATAGACACGTAAAGCTGCAAGTCGTTCTCTCAACTGCCCTTGAGTCACGAAGTAGCAGGTGCAATCGTTGTCTTCACAATTCACGTAGCGCCCGTCCTTCAACCTTCCAGCACCCTCGACGTGGATTTCTGAACTGAAACTGCCACAGACGGAAGCTATCGCGTTACCATTGCATTCCTTGATTTCTGTGTTTGAGGCCTCGTTGCCGCATAGAACACTCTCCTCTACAGTCCAGTAGTACGTGAAACTCTCTCTGGCTGCCTCCACTGAGAATCCCAGAGCCATGCAAGCGAAAAAGAGCACAAGAGAAGCGGAAGATCGATGATTTTTAGCCATGAATGAATGCAGCGCTGCTGGCTATATAATTATTGCATGACCTCGGAGCACTAGCTTTTATAGGAGCCATGCATCGCCGTGCCATGTGGTGTGTGTATACCGCGTCTGTTGTGGGACCACCCATCGTCTTCGCCTCGTTCCTCTGGATACGTGAAACTCTCTCTGGCTGTCTCCACTGAGAATCCACGAAGAAAGTGCTGCTGCGATGATCCATGGCTGGAATTGCAAACCTCTCGCGGGTAAACTGGTTTGAAAGCTCTAGAAAAAGTCTGAAGTCTTTTGCGGTCTCATGTGGAGCTAGACTTGGCAGGCTTTTGACTCGTTAAAGCATTGCGAGGGTCCGTTGGAGGAATTGCTCTTTTATTCTGCCAGCCCAGAAAAACCTTGACACTGAAAGATACCTGCAGCCAGCTGCCAAACTTTAAGTCTGTGGGCCGAAGAGACACTAATGAGATTTACATGATGTCAGAGTCTCTGATTTTCTATGGTTTCCAGGTGCCCAAGAACAGTGGTATTTACCAAACTATGGAGGTGTCGATTCTCATGTGCTTCATGATCGTGCTATGTAGCACCAGGAGCTCCACTCGCAAGCCCAACAACAGGTATGTTCTTCGTTAAGCGACTGCCCGAATGGATCTCTTTGTTTCCCGGAGCCCATGCTCAGCGGCAACCGTTCACTCCGCAATTCATCCTGCTACCTATCGAGCAATCAATCCGAGCCATATCTCAGCGATTCCGAAGCTTGCAAGCCCATCTCCAGCGTTAATTTCAATGCCACCATCGCTCCAGACTTCCCGAATTGCTGCATCCCAGGCTTGGCTTACAGGACTTTCACCTGCTCTCCAAATTTACAAGGGACCAACAATGCCGTCCTCTATGTCACAAGCTTCAACCTCTCAAATCCGAGGTCTCTCAGGCCGTGTACGTACTCGGAATGGAATATGGAACCCATGGCAGCGCTGGCCACTGGATGGTATTGTTATGATCCAGTGCAAAAAGACAAAGATCTAGTTGCCCTAGACTATGCTACGCCACCTCTTGAGGTTCCTCACCACCTAACCACCCCCGAGCTACCTCAAAAGCTCCACTGCGCCGCCGCTCCACTGTGAGCCCTAGGGTAGGTTAAGTCCCTTACCCTAACATGCCTTAATATACCCTTGAGCCTCCCTTTGACCGACGTTGACCACGTAGTCAAAGCTGGAGCCTAACAACCCAACAAAGTCCTTGTCCCAAGGACGAGTTGTACTGGTGATCACCCTTTCTGGGGAATCCTGCTCAAGCTCCTAGTCCATCTTCCACAGCCGTATACATCAAGGAGGCATTGGGCCCATCACTCCGAGATAGTACACCTTTCAACTAGCTGACATAAAATACCGGATGAATTTTCACCCCAACTGGTAGCCGCACCCGATAAGCCGCTTTACCAATGCGCTCCAGCACTTCATATGGACCAGCATATCGATGGGAGAGTTTATCACTCTTCCCTGTCCGTAAATGCACCAAGGTGTTCCACCGCTCACTTGACGGAAAGATCACTCGCACAAAAACGAGATCACCCACCTTATATTCCTGGAATTGGCGATGCTCATTGGCAAACTTCTCCGCTCTATCCTGAGCTGCTTGCAAATTCCGTTTGCACACCACCAGAATCTCATCAAGTTCTGTGGCCAGATCAGTTGCCTCGGAATCAAGCTTATCTTGAACGTCCTTACTCAAATGCAATCCCAACTCCACCGCTGTTCGAGGATGCCTTCCAAACATGGCAAAGTAAGGACTTAGCTTGGTTCCACTGTGTTGGTTAATGTTGTAAGCAAATTGCACCAACGGAAGATATAGATCCCACTGTCCTTGCCTTTGACCAATGCTACAACGTAGCATATCCTCCACCACCTGATTCACACGCTCAGTTTGCCCATCCGTCTGAGGATGATCTCCACTCGAGAGTTTCAAAGTCACTTGCATAGCCTTTGCAAAGCTTTTCCAGGTGAACTTTGAATCTCGATCACTAATGATGTCCTCTGGCAAACCAAAATCAAGAAAAACCTTCTCCAAGTAAACTGCAGCCAAGTCTGAGGCAGTGACAATCTTCCGAAGAGCCAACAACCGCACATACTTCGTCAACCGATCTACTATGACCCATACTTGCTCCTTTTGCCTTTGTGTTCGTGGCAAACAAGTGATGAAGTCCATAGAGATACTACACCAACGGCTCTGAGGAATAGGTAAAGGTTGCAAAAGTCCCCCCGGCTTCTCCCGTGGCACCTTAACCTGCTAACAAAGCTCGCATGATTTACAATACTTGAGGATATCAGCCTTCATATTCCTCCAATAAAAGTTGCGCTTAATCAACTCATACGTCTTCTTCCCCCCAAAATGACCGGCCTCTGGACGATCATGATAGTGGAATAAAACTTGAGTAATTAATGCATCCACCCGTGGCAAATATACACGGCCATTGTAGTAGAGAATCCCATCCACCAATGAGAAAGGGGCTTCCATTTGGGCTGGCATAGAGGCCACCTCAGCATCCTGAGCCTGAGCATGCTCAACCAACTGCCCAAACTTGCTGACCACCTTACTCAAATGATGACAAAATCGTGTTCGTAACATCGTCACATGATGAACACAAGATAAAGCATCTGCCACCACATTTGATTTTCCCGGACGATGCTCAATAGGAAACTCCCCAAACTCCATGAGTTTGACCATCCAACGAGCTTGCCTAGTGTTCAACTCCTTCTGTGTGAAAAGATACACAAGTGGTTTGTGATCTGTCAACACCATGAACACTGCACCATAAAGATAGTGCCGCCACGTCCGCAAAGCATGAACAATAGAGAGTAACTCTTGCTCATATGTGGAATAGCATTGCTCCGCGGAATTCAAAGTTCGACTCTCATATGCAATAGGCTGTCCCTCTTGCATGAGAACTCCTCCCAGTGCATAACCACTCGCATCGCAAGTCACCTCGTAAGGTTTCGATGGATCAGCAATGCGAAGCACTGGAGCCTCACTCAACAATCGTTTCAGCGCCACAAAACTCTCCTCTTGTGGCGTCTTCCACTCGAATGGCACATTCTTGCGTAACAACCGCATCAAAAGAATAGCCACCTCTGCAAACTTATGCTGGAAATGTTGGTAGTAACTAGCCATACCAAGAAAACTGCGCAACTCGGCCACTGTAGTCGGTGTAGGCCAGTTTTCCACCACAGCCACCTTCCTTGGATCCGTCTTGACACCCTTAGATGTCACAATATGGCCTAGATATTCCACCTCTGACTTTGCAAATTCACATTTGCTCTTCTTCGCATAAAGTTTGCTATCTCGAAGTAACAAAAGAACCTTGCGCAAATGCACCCTATGCTCCTCCATATTCTTGCTAAAAACAAGAATATCGTCCAAGAAAATCTCCACAAACTCATGAAGATAATGCCCAAATACCTCCGTCATCAACCGAGTAAATGTGGCCGGTGCATTCGTCAAACCAAACGGCATAACGGTAAACTCAAAATGTCCGAAGCTTGTGTTGAATGCCGTCTTGGAGATAGATGCATCATCCATTGCAATCTGATGATATCCACTCCTCAGATCAATCTTGGTAAACACTCGTGCTTCACCAAGCTTGTCCAGGATATCATCCACACGTGGCATCGGCATCTTGTCCTTCACTGTCTTCTTGTTTAAAGCACGGTAGTCAATACACATCCACATTGAACCATCTTTCTTCTTCACAAGCAAGACCGGAGCACCAAATGGAGATTTACTTGGCTGAATAAATCCAAACTCAAGTAACTCCTTGACTTGTCGTTGAACTTATTGCTCCTCCGCATAACTTAACCGAAATGGACGCCGGTAAATTGGCCGCATCCCTGGCTCCAATGTAATCCCATGCTCCACACCTCGTAATGGAGGCAATCCATGAGGAAGTTCAGATGGAAAAACATCAGAAAACTCATCAAGTACATCCCGTACTGCTGCTTCTCCCACACACGTGCCTTGGTCCCCCAAGTCACGAACAAACAGCAAGTAACTTGAAAGTGCTTTTCCATTACGACAAGCCCGCTTCAAAGATGTAGCAGAGAGCATAACAATTGGTGGTTGAACGCCCTCGCCAAACCACACATCTTTAACGCCACCATACTCCAGCGAGATACGCTTAATGCTCCACTTTATCTCTGGATCCACCTTCACCAACCATGGCATCCCAAGAATGAGGTCCACATGATGGATATCCGCGAGATAAAAAGTCTCCACAAGTGTGGTTTTGCCAACCAACACTTCCAGCCCCTCGACACAAGCATCGAAATGTTGAGTAGAGGTGGCTGCACGTTCCACTGTGTATGGAAGAACTCCACGTGTGACCAGGCCATGCTCCGCAACAAACTTTGCCGAAACAAAGTTGTCATCGCTCCCACTATCCAGTAAACTCCGCACTGGATCGCCACGGAACACGCCCTCCAGCATTAAAGCTGATTCACGCGTATCCTCGAGCTCCATCTTGTTCCACACACAGTTGAGCTGACGAGCAACGATCGAAAGTCTCTTCCTCCGACCGGAATGGTCGTTCTCCTCATCCTCACGCTGCAAAGTTTGCAACTTTTTAGTATCGGACTTACCGTGAGAAGAAGATTGGCCATTCTTCTTGTCCTGCTGCTTGTTCTTCAACTGCGGACAATCAGCCTTGTAGTGTCCAAGTTCGCCGCAATGATGACAACCCTGTCTATAATTCTTCATAAAGAACTTCTGCTTCTTGGACCCCTTTGCATCTGAAGTAGTCACCACCGACTTCAACTTGTGATGCTTGTTCCCATCCTTGTGTCCACGGCGATCATCACGACGATTCTCGATAGAAGGACTCCGCGAACGCTTGCGAGACTTGTGCTTGTCATTGTCAAGTCGACGAGCCGCATCAAAGAGCTCCTCCAAACTCTTTGTAGGCTGAGAATGACGCAAGGGTTGCCGCATGCTCTCACTATGTAGGCCATCAATGAAGTAGGACTTGTTTTGATCTGGATCCTTCGTTGGAACACGACTAATCAAGTGAGTAAGCTTCTCAATATAGTCCCCGAGCGTCATTTTCCCTTGCTGGAAATGTCAAAGTTCCGTACGAGCATTCTCCACGTCGTAATGAGGGGCAAAACGTAAACGGAAAGCAGCCTCAAACTCATCCATGGTAGACACTGGTGGTTTCTTATCCGCAACACGGGACTCCTCAAGCCAATTCCACCATCGAAGATCCGCATCACGCAAAACCATCGGAATAGCCACTAAAGCCTCTGCATCTGGAGTTCCTCTAGCAGCCAAGAACTTCTTCACATTAGCTAGCCAAGCGAGACACTCGTCCACACCACCATCACCGGAAAAGGTTGGAATCTTGAGTCGATCTACCAAAGAAGGCTTACTTGGAGCGCTACCCCGTCCAGCCTCGAGTGCCTCAACACGCCCACGCATGGTATCCATCATGCCATGCATCTTGTCTTGCATCTCTTGCTAATTTTTATTAAGGGCTCGCAGCTCATGAACCACATCTTGAATGGTCCAAATCTCCACAGCTTCGTCGGCACCACCATCGACAATAGGATTGCAGCGTTCAGCTTGGTCGGCCATCGCAACCAATGCTCTGATACCAATGTTATGATCCGGCGCAAAAAGACAAAGATCTAGTTGCCCTAGACTATGCTACGCCACCTCTTGAGGTTCCTCACCACCCAACCACCCCCGAGCTACCTCAAAAGCTCCACTGCACCGCCGCTCCACTGTGAGCCCTAGGGTAGGTTAAGTCCCTTACCCTAACATGCCTTAATATACGCTTGAGCCTCCCTTTGACCGACGTTGACCACGTAGTCAAAGCTGGCGCCTAACAGGTATAGCCAAGACCGAAGCTTGTGCTTGAAAAACATCCAAGTTTTAGCTCCAAACAGACGGACTGTGGTCGCTAGAATGGTGGCTGAATGCTACTCCCCAAACGGGTGTCTCAGCGATCATTCGTTCACGGAGCCCTGTGCTCCAAACGCTGTGGCTGCGAACGAGCAAGTGTGGAGGAAGCTTGGGTATGATCCAGCTTGAGAAATATCACCTGGAATGAGACATAGTAATCTTGTCCATTCGAAGCAAAAAGAATTATGAGGGAGTGATCGCTGGGGTAGCAAGCACTGTGGCCAGGGTGGTGCTTAGCGTCGTAATCTTCGTAGCAACCAGGAAGTGGAGAAGATCTCGGAGGAGGCGCATGGAAAAGCAAGCGCTCATCGAAGGAATGAGGCTCGATGAGATACTTCCACACCAGTTTAGCTATCACGACTTGAAGATGGCAACTAGAAACTTTGATCCCGAGCTCACGCTTGGAGCTGGAGGATTTGGATCCGTCTTCAAAGGAGAGCTTGCGGATGGGAGCCTCGTTGCTGTCAAGAAGATGGACGTAAAGATCCAAGGCTCGTCAAAAGGGCACTCGCAGTTCAAGGCCGAGGTAATGTCCATTGGCAGCATTCACCACTTCAACCTCGTAAAGCTCCGGGGATTCTGCATCCAGGGACCAGCTGCATTGCTTGTCTACGAGTTCATGCCCAATGGATCACTGGACAAGTGGATCTTCACCAAGAACGATGATGACAAAGGTGGCGGATCAGCAAATCTGCTGTTAAACTGGAACCAGAGACACTCAATCGCGATAGATGTTGCTCGAGGACTCACATACCTCCATGAAGGATGCCGGAAGCAAGTTCTTCACCTGGATATCAAACCTCAAAACATCCTCCTGGACGAGAACTTACGAGCCAGAATCTCCGACTTTGGCCTGAGCAAGCTCGCCGAGTGGGGAAAGAGCCAAGTGGTGACTGTCATGCGAGGAACTCCCGGATACATGGCACCCGAGTGGCTCCACACCAAAGTCACGTTTACAGCTTTGGAATCGTGCTGCTCGAGCTCGTCAGCTCCAAGCGCACCATCCAGTTCCATCCTCCATCCTCCTCTTCCTCCTCATCCTCCTCACAACCGCGCTTCCTGGGTGAAACTGCGCTGAGCATGTTTCACAGTGGCAACGTCATCGAGCTTATTGACAACAAGCTCCTGGACAATGATCTCGCCAGCACTAGCAGTGGCTTGGAGCTCAAGGATGCCAAGAGGTACGTGAAAATCGGACTGTGGTGCATCCAACTCGAGGCAGCAATCCGCCCCTCTATGAGAAACGTCCTGGATATGCTCGAAGGTAACATCGACGTTCTTGATGCCACCACCTTCAAGTGATGGTAACTCCAGAAGCTTCAGCTTGCAACTACCTGGATCCTACTTCAGCTCCACTCGTCCGTGATGTTATCCTCTAGTTCTCACAGTGAGACCATGATATCAAGACTGAGATAGAGTCTCGCAAGTGTTGACGTTATATTGACAGAGGGGAGTCACCTTCTTCCAAGTTTTTCTCTCTACTTCTAGCCAGTGGGAACGAGGAAGCATACCGGAGACAATATATATTTCAAAGAATCAAGGGTCTTCTTCCGCACCACCATCAGCCTCACAAAATCTGAAGTTGGGTTCTACTTTCATTGTCCACGCTAATTTGGCCAGCAATGACTTATTAAAAACCTGTGATCCAAATCTCCTGCCTCAGTAAGAGAAATAAAAGACATGAAAGTACAAAGTGCCTGGTTACCTTCTCAACGGGGATTTCATGTTGCTTGCACCAAGCGACTGTTATTGGAGGATCCATGTAGTTAATCTTTGACGTTCCCAGCGCCACAGTTTTGAGATCTTCTTTGACGGACAGATCCAAGGTCATCTTCAGTTTGAGCCAACTTCCTTTCCAACCTGGAATTTACATGAATAGTCAGGATCATAAAAGTAGAAACATAAAAATCATCCACTTACTGTTCTGCGGTTGGAGGCCTTTTAGCCGTGGTGTGGACTGGAGGTTTGCCCTTTTTAACTTTCCCCAAGTCTGTTGAAAGTTCAGTGTCTGCCAATAGCAAAGCGTCAGCCTCAAACAAACCATAAAGAAAAATGGACCTTTAACTCTGCAATCTTTGCCTCCAATCTGTCCATCTGAGCACTATGGCCCTTGGATACTGTCTGTTGATGACATTCTGTCAGCAAAGTGCTAACCAAACAGAATGTTCTCTTACCCCCTTATTTTCTCGGGAGTATTCTGCAGTTTTCTTGTTAAGAGTTGTACCAAGTGTCTCCTTCAATTGTAACAAGTAAATCATCAGATCATTTTGGCCTTGACAAAGTAAAAGTCACCTGCATCTCCAAAGTATATGATGCATTATATGTTCAAAACACCTTCACTGTTAGACCTTGAATGTACTTCTTCAGATGGGCATTAAGATTAGAAGTATCTAACTTATCAAAGAGGTCAACCCCTTCCTTTTTCCCTATGTAACAAACAGCTCATCTCAATGAGGAGAACACAAGTCACAACATACCTTTCTTAAAATTGTATATAGCATAATATACCTCTTCGTTTACAACCACAGAGTTTTGATACCTGGTGGAGTCTTTACCTAGAAAATCAAACTGTAAATTTATAACCCATAGATCACAAAACAACAGTGATGTTAAAGAAGTTTTCCAAAGCTTTTTGTAAACTCTTATGAGGACTTGTGGCAATTGGATATAGTGGAACATGAGATTCCAATCAAGCAAGGAGCAAAGACAATGGTTCAAAAGCTATGTAGGTTTGATATGGCTTATGCTGAGCTAATGAAGTTGATCAAAGATGACTTTATATTTGAAGTGGAGAATTCAAATTAGGTGTCACTTGTTGTAGTAACACTAAAGAAGGGAGGGAAATGGAGAGTGTGCATCAATTATAAAGTTAAATGATGTTACACAACATGATTATTATCCCATTCCATTCATGGACAAGATCCTTAATGAAGTAGCATGGGATGAGTGGTACACTTTTTGTGATGGATACTCTGGATATTTTCAAGTTCAAATGAAGGAGGAGGATCAGCTAAAAACAACATTCACCACTCCTTAAGGAACTTTTACATATAGAGTGATGTCATTTGAAAACTTGAAGCAGCTGCTAAGCTTAACCCTGATTTTGGTGGCACTATGTTGGGATGAGACTTTTTACATGAATATAAACATTAGCAAATATTTTATCACAACAATTCTATTCCAAAAGGGGAGTAGAGGATATATATTTCCCCTCTACTATGCTAGTTGACAACTTCAAAGACTTGAGCTAAATTATCCACTTTTGGAGAAGCAAGCTAGAAGTATTATATATGTGGTGGAGAAATTCAAACACTACTTGTGGGGGAGGTATTTTGTGTTCCTGACAGATAATGCTGCATTAAAGTACATTCCAAACAAGCCAACATTTGTTAGAAAATTTTCCAGATGGATGACAAATTTAGCAAAGTATGATTTTGAGTTTCAACATGAGAAAAACACTTAAGCAAGATTGGTTGGAGCTTTGGATTATAAAATACCTCTGGAGTAAAACGAGATCAATTTATGCCAGGAAGAAGATTATGAAGTCTTAACAATGAATGTTGACATGGAAGAATATTAGGAAATTTACAATTTTTGGGAGTAGGGAGTTTTCTAGAAGGTTGTAAAGAGTGAAAAATTATACATAAGTTAAAACCATTCACACTAATAGGCGATAAACTTTATTGAATTGAACTAGATAGCGTGCTTTGGAGAACATTTGGACAAAACGAATGAAAAAAGATCATGAAGTAGTGTCATGAAGGATATTGTGGTGGACACTTCTCCTTTAATTATACAATCAAAAAGATTGTGAATATAGGATATTTTTGGCAAACATTATTCCAAGACGTGAAGGAATGGTGCAAGTTATGTCACATCTATTAGGCCATTGGAAGAAGAATCTTTTGACCATGAAGTCTTTATCCAATTTTGCCAATAGAACCATTTGAGAAAGGGATAGATTTTGTAGGACCAGTTCTAGTGGCATCAAGTCAGAAAAGATTTATCTTGGTGGCAATAAACTACCTTACTAAGTTGGTTGAAGCAATAATAACTAAAAACAACACTAAGGAAGTTCTAGTAAACTTTCTTGTCCAAAATATATGCATAAAGTTTGGTTGCTTGTTAAAGATTGTCACTAACTAAGGCTCACACTTCTATAATAAGGTGGTTAAAACACTAATGAGGAAGCTATCAATAAAACACTAGCAATCAACATCATACTTGTTATGATCCGGCGCAAAAAAACAAAGATTTAGTCACTTTAGACTATGCTATATTACCTCTTGAGGTTCCTCACCACCTAACCACCCCCGAGCTACCTCAAAAGCTCCACTGTGCCACTGCTCTACTATGAGCCCTAGAGTAGGTTAAGTTCCTTACCCTAACAGGCTTTAATATACCCTTGAGCCTCCCTTTGACCAATATTGACTATGTGGTCAAAACTGACACCTAACAATTCTTCCTCCCTAACAAAGTCCTTGTCCCAAGCTCCTAGTCCATCTTCCACAGCTAACCAACGTTGACCATGTGGTCAAAGATGGCGCTTAACAATTCTTCCCCCCCAACAAAGTCCTTGTCCCAAGGACGAGTTGTATCGGTGATCACCCTTTTTGGGGAACCCTGTTCAAGCTCTTGGTCCACCTTCCACAACCGTATACATTAAGGAGGCATTAGGCTTATCACTTCGAGATCATACACCTTTCAATTGGCTAACATAAAATACTAGATGAATTTTCTCCCCAGCTGGCAACTACACCCGATAAACCACTTTACCAATGCGTTCCAGCACTTCATATGAATCAACATATCAATGGAAAAGTTTGTCACTCTTCCTTGTCTGTAAAGGCACCAAGGTGTTCTGCCACTCACTTGACGAAAAGATCACTCTCACAAAAATGAGATCACCCACCTCATATTCCCGAAATTAACAATGCTTATTAGCAAACTTCTTCGCTCTATCCTAAGCTGTTTGCAAATTCCGTTTGCACACCACCAGAATCTCATCAAGTTCTATGGCTAGATCAATCACCTTAGAATTATCTTGGATGTCCTTACTCAAATGCAATCCCAACTCCACCACTGTTTGGGGATGCCTTCCAAACATGGCAAAGTAAGGACTTAGCTTGGTTCCATTGTGTTGGTTATTATTATAAACAAATTGCACTAATGGAAGATATAGATTCCATTGTCCTTGCCTTTGATTAACGCTAGAATGTAGTATATCCTCCACCACTTGATTCACACACTCAGTTTGCCCATCTGTCTGAGAATGATATTCATTTGAGACTTTCAAAGTCACTTGTATAGCCTTCGCAAATTTCTTCCAAAATCCACTTGTTAATTTAGAATCTTGATCACTAATGATGTACTCTAGCAAACCAAAATCAGGAAAAACCTTCTCCAAGTAAACTATAGCCAAATCTAGGGTAGTGACAATCTTTCGAAGAGCTAACAACCACACATACTTTATCAACCGATCCACTATAACCCATACTCCTTTTGCTTTTGTATGCGTGGCAAACAAGTTAAATAGGCTTTAATTACAAGTTTTCATTGTCATTTAGTACATGCTTTAGAGTTGTAAAGTTGGGATCTCCAACTCAATTGGAAATATAACTTTTGTCCTATAAATTACCTAGAAAAAAGTGAAGTTGATTGTTACTTTATATATAGTTTTGTAAACCCATAATGCTGTTAACAGTCATTTATCCCAATCTTTCTTCTTCTCGATGGTCAACTTTACTAAAATTTTGCATAATACACCATTTGTTCTCTCCACCACTATTAATTTATGGATAGTATGATGTTGACTACCAATGTTTTATTGACAGCTTCCTCATTAGTGTTTTAACCACCTCATTGTAGAAGTGTGGGCCCTAGTTAGTGACAATCTCTAACAGGTAACCAAACCTTGTGCATATATTTTGGACAAGAAAGTTTACCACAGCTTCCTTGATATGAAATTATATAAATCTCTTTAGGTAATAATAAATTTAGCTTTTTACCGGATGGCTCTCCACTCCAGTGTTGCAGATCTCGGCCTTGACATTCTTCCCGGCTGCCAGAGCTCCTAGGCTACCACACACCTTGAGAGCCACCACAAAAGTCACGTCATCAGCTTCTGAATAACATTTATAAAGATGGTCTTTACGAATAAAATGTGAATACAAAAATTGTATTCAGGTGTGGTGGCACCTTTGCTTTTAGTTACTATTGCTTCAACCCACTTAGTAAGGTAGTTTGTTGCCACCAAAATAAATCTTTTCTGACTTAATGCCATTGGAATTAGTTCTATAAAA